TCACTCCTGATCGTCGTCGAGCACTCGCTGTGTCTCTGCTTTCAGCCTGTCTAAGTCGCTGCGTTCGAAGAAAGACTCATCCGTGGCGCAACTACAAAGGTCTGGAAACTCGTTGAGCTCCCGATCCTCATCCACACGGAGGCCTGCTTCACCACTGTCTTCGTAGTAGCCGGCCGCCATGTCCGCGGACCACATGCACAGGATTTGCTCAGGCTTCACGTGATGGATCGCCCAAGTCCGGTTCGTCATCTTGGACCAGAGGTTGTGGTGGCAGCTGGGCTCCATGGCCTACACTCCCCTTAGAACCGTAATAAAAAAGTACTTTTAATATCCTCTGATATGAAAAAATACAAAATAATTCCCAAGGGGGATATAGCGGCAAAAACCCTGTTGTCAAAATCATCCAGCGTCAGGGACGGCAGCGGCTCCGCCCCGTCGAAGAGGAGCTGTCGCAGGTGCACCCCGATGCATGGGTCGTCACCATATACCTTGGGGACCAACATGAACCCCAATTTTTAGGGGTCTTTTTTCCCCTCTGCTATTTAGAGTTCCTGTTTTTGGGGTACATGAACTATTTAGAGTTCCTTTTTTGGGTACATGAACCATAAAACCTTTCGGGGTTCATTTGGTCCCCAAGGTACCATGCGCAGCCGGCCCTCCTGGCTTGCTTTGGCCAGCAGCCGGACGACGTCCATGGAAAGAACCCGCACAACGCCCCGCGGGTACGGTGGGAAGACCGGGAAGGGGAAGTCCTCTTCCGTGTTGTAGAAGTTATCGTCTTCGTCCCTCGGCACAGGGCTGATGTAGTCAAAAATTGCCCAGGCATACTGCGCCGGGATCCGCCTCTCTAGCTGCCTCAGCAGAGGCGCCGGGCGCAGGTAGACGTCATCGTCCGTCTTCAGCAGGAATTCTGCCTCGGCGCGCTCCGCGATCCACTCCAGGAACAGCAAGCCCTTCCGGGAGTTCATGCGGTAGCCCTCCGTCACGGGCAAGAAAACGAGATCGTTGTGCTCGTCCAGCTCTTGCCGCATCCGCCTCTCCTCTAAGGAGGCGCCCGCGCTGCCTTCGCCGAGGAAGAAGCGGTAGCGGACACCAAAGTGCTCCCGCAGGAGTCGGCCCCAGGTATCCCTGACAGCCTGACGCTTCTCGAAATTTTTCCGGGCAGAGTAGATGCCAATGAAGACCAGTGGAAGCTTGGTGTCTGGCAGGTCGACCAGAAGCCGGCACATTGTGCCTTTACTCCCCTTAGAACCTTAAGAAAAAATATGTTCAATATCCTCTTGGGTTTTATATAAACAAAAAAACATTTCCCAAGGGGGATGTAGGTGCAGGCTTGGCTGTAGAGCTTCTCCTCGAAGGGCCTGTTGTACCTGTACTGCACCTGGTCCTGGATGATGCGCTGATAGTGCCAGAGCGCACCCAGCTGCTTGTTAATCCTGTTTAAGTTTTCAAGGGTCTCCATTAGGTCGAAGGGTTCCGGCTCGTAGTCTGCGATGGCGTTGAAGACCATTGCCCCCACTTCGACGAAGCCATTGAAGACCGCGATCGTGTGATACGCCAGGCTACGCACGAAGAGCGGCGAGACGGCGTGACGCGTGGAGTCCTCCTCTGGCAATATACAAAACCGATATGGCTGGAAGGCAGCTGCCTCGGTCTCCGGGCTTCCGTCTTCGATGAACACGTGCTCCGGGATGGCCGCCATGGCCTGGCGGTAAATCTCCTCCGCCAGCTCATCCCACCTGTCTCGCGGTGGCATGAGCACGGAGAGCAGTTGGGTCTTCTCCTGCATGACGAGGTCAAGATCTTGGGGCACTTGAAACTGAGAAATGTTCTCCATGTAGAGGACGGAGCCATGGCGCCCACGGAAGGGCACGTAGGAGCGCGAGTCTGTGAAGAGGTAGTCGATCTGGCCTTGCAGGTCCCCCGCGCTCACGCGCTGCAGGTCCGCGTGGTTCAGCCACGCCACGCGGCAGATGCTGCTGTGGGGGTCTGTCGGCTCCCCAATGCCATGCATGACCACCTGCACGTCCATGCCCTCGATGTCGCACTCCGTGCGCCAGCTGCCTGCAAGTAGTGCCAGGGCCACCGGGGCCAAAGCCAGCGGTGTGGGTAAGGAGCCCATGGCCAGTGTGCCAGAGATCAGAGACGACTCTCAACCTCTCTCTTTGCGAGCTGCGCCCAGGACCATACCTAGGACCTCTCGAAAGCTTGCACAAGGCTACGCAAGGATGCGCAAGGATGCGCAAGGGTTTAGGGCTTCAGACTCACAGGACTCTTAGGGCTCAAGTCTCCTCTGCAGCTTTAAACCCCCACCTCATCACCTAAAGTCCGAAGAAGTCATTGCCCCGAAAGGCCCGACTTGAGCGGTGATAAGGCTTCTAGGGCTTAGATGGCAAGACTGCGATAGACTTAGGGTTTAGGGGCTTTTGCTTGAGGTCTGGACTTGGATTCAGGGCTCTCTGGGCCTTTTAAGTAGAGCTTTCGGAGCTACTTCCTAAGCCCGCACTGCGGGTCTTCAGCCTGAAGCTGCACGTGGCGGAAAGCGTCAAAGACAGGCAGATCCCTAAACCCTAAACCCTAAACCCTAAACCCTAACACCCCTTAAGCTGCAAAAGAAAGCCGGCGCGACTCAGCGACAGGGACTGCTGAGCAGCTGCTGGACGATCCCTGCCACAAGTCAATGCAACATGCGGCCCATTGGGATGTTCTTTAGGGTTTAGGGTTTAGGGTTTAGGGTTTAGGGGTTTAGGGGTTTAGGGGTTTAGGGGTTTAGGGGTTTAGGGGTTTAGGGGTTTAGGGGTTTAGGGGTTTAGGGGTTTAGGGGTTTAGGGGTTTAGGGGTTTAGGGGTTTAGGGGTTTAGGGGTTTAGGGTTTAGGGGTTTAGGGGTTTTAGGGGTTTAGGGGTTTAGGGGTTTAGGGGTTTAGGGTTCAGGGGTTTAGGGGTTTAGGGGTTTAGGGGTTTAGGGGTTTAGGGGTTTAGGGGTTTAGGGTTTAGGGGTTTAGGGGTTTAGGGGTTTAGGGGTTTAGGGGTTTAGGGGTTTAGGGGTTTAGGGGTTTAGCGGTTTAGCGGTTTAGGGGTTTAGGGGATGTTGATAGCTTCTTCGTGTCTTGGGCCTGCTCATGGAGATGCCCTCGAATCAAAGTGGCCACAAAAACCCTAAACCTCCACGCTTTCTGGAGCCCGAGATCGCTCGGAAGGGGAATGGCAGTTTGCGGCAAGGGGCGCGAATCCAGGGCTTTAGGTGCGTAAAGTTCGGCCACGAAGGGGCTTCAAGTTTGTGCGCGAAGCTGAAAGCCCCAAAGTGAAGCGAGGGGCCAGTCCAACAAAACCCGGAAGCTTGAACAACTTCCACCCAAGACCCTGACAGGCCCAACTTGCAGCACCCCGAGCGTGCCAAGCAAAACCGCACTCTGCTGTTCCCCCCCCCCCACTGTAAGACTGCCGCCCCAAGAAACCTTTCAAAAACCGAGCCCCCCTAAACCTTAAACCCTAAACCCTAAACCCTAAACCCTAAACCCTAAACCCTAAACCTTAAACCCTAAACCCTAAACCCTAAACTACCCTAAACCCTGATTTCCCCGAATCCCCAAGAACCATGGGCTGCGCGCTCTTTGCTCGGAGACTGGGCATGGACCTGGGAGGGGCGCTGCAGGTGCTGCAGTTGCATGCGACTTTGAAGAAAGGGCTTAGGGTTTAGGGTTTAGGGTTTAGGGTTTAGGGTTTAGGGTTTAGGGTTTCGGGTTTAGGGATTAGGGTTTAGGGTTTAGGGTTTCGGGTTTAGGGTTTAGGGTTTAGGGTTTAGGGTCTGGGGTTTAGAGTTTAGGGTTTGGGGTTTGGGGTTTGGGGGTTGGGGTTTGGGGTTTAGGGTTCAGGGGTGTAGGGGTGTGGGGGTTTAGGGGTCTCTCTCCGTTTTTTTTTTGCAGTCGAAGCCCTGAACCTGACCGGCCCTCACGTGGTATATACCTCGAGCCCATTTCGGCCAAAACAGTAGAGGATGGTCAGAAAGATTTGACTCAGACCCAGCGCAAAGCCCAGCGAACTCTCCCGCCACAAGACCACCTAAACTTTCCTGAGCCCCAAACCACGTTGGGTGAAATCCCCAGAATTCCCTAGGGCTCGCACGCGTGCGGCAGGCACACGTTCCCAAAGAACGCCCTGATGCACAGGTTTGGTTTGCCCTAAAGCGTACAGGCCGTAAGTTCCAAACCCAAAAGCTCTAACAAAGCCTAAACAATAGGGTTTAGGGCTTAGGGCTTAGGGTTTAGGGGTTAGGGTTTAGGGTTTAGGGTCTAGGGTCTAGGGTCTAGGGTCTAGGGTCTAGGGTTTAGGTTCTGGGGTTTAGGGTTTAGGAATTAGGGTTAGGGTTTAGGGTTTAGGGTTTAGGGTCTGGAGCCATCCAAGAGGACAAGCGATGACAAGCGGTTCAACCCAAGGGCCTTTTTTTGGGCGACGTACCATGCAAAACTTGTTCATGGTTTAGGGTCTAGGGTAACTTGCTCAAAACACCATCAAAAAGGGGATTACATCCTACACCAGACAGCCGAGTCCTGGTCATCGATGACGTCGCACGGGCGCCCTGGCTGGGCGTTGGCCCCGCCAGTCCGCGTACCTAATAACGTGTATAGGGCTTGGGTCTGTTTCTTTGGGGCAGTCTGCTTCTTCCCGGTTGTCGTCTTTTTTCCAAGAGTGCAAGTTTCAGAGGCGTCCTGATCGTCACCCTGAACACTGAACACTGAACCCTAAACCCTAAACCCTAAACCCTAAACCCTAAACCCTAAACCGTAAACGGGGAGGGAGGGGGGGGGAATGAAAGCAAGGAGAGCAGCTAGAGGCGGCCCCAGGGTTCCTGAGTCAAGGGGGGGTTTTCAGCTCTGCCCCAACCCTTCAGGGTTTAGGGTTTAGGGTTTAGGGTTTGAGGGTTTCAGGGTTTGAGGGTTTGAGGGTTTGAGGGTTTCAGGGTTTCAGGGTTTCAGGGTTTCAGGGTTTTAGGGTTTTGGGGGTATTCTGCGCGCTTGGAGTTTCACTCAGAGGCCTTAACCTCGTGCCGCAAAACCTTACCGAGGGCCCGCACCCGAAGGCGGTGCTGCAGGTTGCGGCCTCGGCGCGCTGCCATAAGGGCTCTGTAGGTTTTTAGGGTTTAGGGTTTGGGGCCTAGGTTTTAGGGTTTAGGGTTTGGGGTTTGGGGTTTAGGGTTTAGGGTTTAGGGTTTAGGGTTTAGGGTTTAGGGTTTAGGGTTTAGGGTTTAGGGTTTAGGGTTTAGGGTTTAGGGTTTAGGGTTTAAAGGTTTATGGTTTCGGGTTTAGGGGTTAGGGTTTAGGGTTTCGGGTTTACGGTTTAGGGTTTAGGGTTTAGGGTTTAGGGTTTAGGGTTTAGGGTTTAGGGTTTAGGGTTTAGGGTTTAGGGTTTAGGGTTTAGGGTTTAGGGTTTAGGGTTTAGGGTTTAGGGTTTAGGGTTTAGGGTTCCGGACGCTGAAACCAAGTTCTGGTGGCTTATGGAAAGATGCGCAATGCGCCGCCCAATCTGAAAATCAACCTGCAAAGTTGCACTGGTCTTGAGGCCAGGGTTTAGGGTTTAGGGTTTAGGGTTTAGGGTTTAGGGTTTAGGGTTAAGGGTTAAGGGTTAAGGGTTAAGGGTTAAGGGTTAAGGGTTAAGGGGTAAGGGGTAAGGGGTAATAGATTTTAGAGGCGAAGATTGGGTTTCCAGTTTAGGAGCACAGCAGGGTTCAGGGTTTCGGAGAACCCGAACATCCCTGGACCCTCAGCCGGGGGCAGTTCGGCTGAGGCCCTATCTTGCACTCTGAGGAAGGAATCTATGGAAGCAAGCCGCCCTCAACCCGAAACTTTTTTATGGGGTTCTTCGAAAAGAGAGCTCCTGCTTGTGGTAGTAAACTCTTCGACTGCAGGGAACAAGCGCCATCTACAGTCTCCTCATCTCATGTGTCCTCAGGGTTCAGGGGGCATGCTCTTGGGTCGCTTGCGCTGGGACTCCAAACACTGAACTCCGAGAACATGCAGCAACTGCAACGGCAAAACGAATATCCAAGAACACCTGCATTCAGAAGAAAGCTCTCGAAACTTTTCTGGGGACGCTGGCAGAGGCATACCATGTCCGACCACCACGCCTTTCCAGTATGCAGTGGGGAGGTTGCGGGCACAGGTTCAATGGTTCAGAGTCCGAAGCCCTAAACCCTAAACCCTAAAGATCCTGTGCACAAAAAAATGTTTGTTGGGGGAGCGTTCTAGGAGTGTGAGAGCTTGGAGTTTCCAGGGTTGGGGCTTGATATAAGTCGGAAGCAAGCGCATCCGACTTTCGGCTGGGATGTTGAGGTCTGACTCGTCCAGTGAAGTGTCTAGGGCCGCATGCTCCCCACAGGAAGAGGTTTGGGTGCATGTGGGGTGCACATGCCCGGAGTTTGAGAAGTCAAAGGCTCCTGCTGCCGAACCCTAAACCCTAAACCCCAAACCCTAAACCCTAAACCCTAAACCCTAAGCTCGTTGACTTTTGTGGGGGGCCCGGGCCCTGGCCTGGACACCAGGTGTCGCCTCGTGGCTGAAACTGGACTCGCGCTCCCACTGCCACCTTGCAATGTCTTTGAACTCATGGGTTAGGATTGGTTTAGGGTAGTTTAGGGTTTAGGGTTTAGGGTTTTAGGGTCTAGGGTTGAGGGTTTAGGGTTTTAAAGTTTAGGGTTTAAGGTTTAGGGTTTAAAGTTTAGGGTTTAAAGTTTAGGGTTTAAAGTTTAGGGTTTAAAGTTTAGGGTTTATTAGGGTTTATGAGGGTTTATTAGGGTTTATGAGGGTTTATTAGGGTATATGAGGGTTTATTAGGGTTTATTGGGGTTTATTGGGTTTATGAGGGCTTAGGGTTTAGGGGTTTAGGGTTTCGGGTTTAGGGTTAGGATTGGGTAGTTTAGGGCTTTAGGGGAAGGACGAATACTCCCTGTATGTCCATGGTTTCATGCCCAAGATGACAAGCGCTGGGGCCTTGAAAAGCTACCTGCCACTACTTTCGGGGACTTTCGCGAAAAGTGCGCAATGGAGGTTGAGATGCTAAGAGTCGAAACAACTACTTAGAGGTTCATGGTACTTATTAACCAATTATGACTGTACCTATAACTGTAC